ATCCAGGTGACAGGTGGTTCCTTGATACATGGAAACTGCCAGATTCAATATTGAAGAATAGCCCCAATCATTTGGGAAGAGAAATGAGGGATGGGAGTTCATTAAATGTGGGTTGGGTGATTGTGAAGATATATTGAGTGTTTCCAAATGTTTTGTTTATTGTGCAGGTTAAAAGGAGTTGTTATGAGTGTTAAACCATTTCATAAAGGTTTGAGTGTTGTGACAAAGTTATACTACACACCTCTCACTGACCATATTGAGAGTGTATTGATTAACTATTTATATATATTTGTATATATACTCTGTTTTGCAGGTTGCATGAGCCTGCTGTTTTTTGAGTGTTATGAGGTCTCATATTGTGGGTTGAGGGAATTATGGAGCCAATCAATTATAAATTTTGGAGACACTTTGGAGGGACGTGATATTAAATAGGAGATCTTTGTCAAAAAGAAAAAAAAAAAAGACCCACTTCTACTGCTATATATAGTGTATGAAGTGAAAATGAAATAGACAAACATTAGAAGCAATGAAATAGAACTGCAATTTTAGCAATGAGAAAAAATCATTGTTAAATTAGTATTGGAGTTAATATTAAGAATCAACAGAAAATTTACTATAATTAAAACTACAATCCATTTTGTTTGTTCAATATATCTTCAACTTGAAATTCAAAAACCCTAAGTCATTTCACAGAATAAATCATCTCATCTATCACAACAATAATTAGTTCAAAAAACCCTAAATCTAGAACAAAAATCAAAACTCATGTACTTATTTCACAAAAATAAAAATCCTACAACATCAAAAAAAAAAAAAATCCTAGCTCTAGAGTGAAATGGGAAAATAAAGGAAGAGAGAGAGAGAGAGAGACCTGAACGTCGATGGGAACCGAGGAGACGGGGAGCAACGGTGACTGACCGACGGTGAGCGACTAGGAGAGAGAGGGGGACAGCGAGACTATGTTTGGTGTTTAGTCACTCTATTTGGTGTATGTACCTGTACTACAGATAAATAAAAAATTAATAATACTAAAATTAAACATAAACGGTGAGCGACTAACTATGAGAGAGAGGGCGAGAGCAAATGTTTGGTCTTTGGTCACTCTGTTTGGTGTATGTGCCTGTAATACATATAAATAAAAAAATAATAATACTAAAATTAAACGTAAACTCAAAATTAGGCGGTAATATTCAGATTCAAAATCGAGTTAATTAAAATTATAAGAACTAAAATTCAAAAAAATTTATCATTGTACAGGAGAGCAATTTGAAATTTTATTTCTTCTTTTAAGTCATATAAAGCCATTAATCAATTTTGTACACGTGGCAAGTATAGTTAAAAAAAAAAACATGCTATATTCAGTTTAACTTATTTGTTTTTATTTATTTTGTGCATTTTAAAAATTTTGAAAATATATTAGCATTTTTTATTTTTTCGAAAAATGCCATTAGATAGCTTGGAAAGTTTTTGACTTAGTGACATTTCTCAAAATGCTATAAAATATTTGTTTAGAACACTTTTCACCTAATGCCATAAAAAGTAACTTGCACCTACCTAGTTTAGTGACATCTGTTAATAAATGTCACTGAAACAATTTCTCGTGCCATTCTTTTATAAAATGCCATAAAATTGACGTGTCATTTTTTATTGAAATGTCACCAGAGCCTTATATATTTGTGGTTCTGTAGTTTTTTTTTTCCTCTAAAACGTGTTATCAAATATTATTTTTGTAACATTTCCTAAAAACATGCCACTAGTGTAGTGCCACTAAAGTGTGTTTTTGTTGTAATGTATATTCTTCATCAAATAGTTTCAAAATATTTTAAATCAATTTTTTCAAAAAAAAATATTTAAAATTATTGGTGCCGAAAATATATTCCTCACTAATAATTTTATAATTGGTGACAAATTGTTTTTCTCACCAAAAGTCTCAAAATTTTGGCCCCCACCCAAAAAAATTAGAGAGAAAACCTTTGGTGACGAAATTTAATTTTTACTCACCTAAAATGAAGTATTTATTAACGAAAGTAAATTTCGTCACCTATTATTTTTACTTTTTTATTATATGTGACAAAATTTTATAATTCGTCACGGATTATTCTTATTTAGTGACGAAATTTATTTTGTTCAATACTTTTCGTCACCGTAGGTTACTTAGAGAACTAATTAACTTGTGTTTTGTTTTTAAAGAGAGAGAGAAAGAGGGGAGAGGAAAACTGATAAACAAAAAATGAGGAGGGGGGAGGGAAAGTTAGTTGTATATTTTTTTTCATTACTGCCCAATATTTCAAAACTTTTCCTTCAAAATTAGTGACAAAATAATTTCCTCACTAAAAAGTCTCAAAATATTAAAAATTATTAGTGACAAAAATATATTTATCACCAAATGGTCTTAAAATATTTAAAATCAAGTTTCTCAAAAAATATATATATAAAATTATTGATGACGAAAATATATTCCTCACTAATAATTTTATAATTGGTGACAAATTTTTTTTCTTACCAAAAATATCAAAATTTTGGCGCCACCAAAAAAAATTAGTGGGAAAACCTTCGGTGACGAAACTTAATTTTTTCTCACCTAAAAAGAAGTATTTGTTGACGAAAATAAATTTCGTCACCTATTATTTTTATTTTTTTATTATATGTGACAAAATTTTATAATTCGTCACGAATTATTCTTATTTAGTGATGAAATTTATTTTCTTCACTACTTTTCGTCACCATAGGTTACTTTTGTTGTAGTGTTTCAATATGCTTACGAGTTCAAGATTGTGATATGCGATCTACGAATAAGGCTACGATCTGCGAGGAGGGCTTGTGATCTTTGATCTCGTTGACTGATGTTCACCGAAGAGGGGTTTGTGATGTTAGATCCTCGTCAACTGATGTATCTTTGATCTCGTCGACTTATGTTCACTGAGGGGTTTGTGATGTTAGATCCTCGTCAATTGATATTCACCGGAGAACAGAGAAAGTGATGGGGATCGGCGACGAGAAGAGACCCCTGCTGATAGTCCCTTGCTCATCGAAGAGAACAATGGAAAGAAAGAAAGAGAGAGAGAGAGAGAGAGAGAGAGAGAGAGAGAGAGAGACGCTCACAGTCGCTGATGAGAGAGAGTAAGGGGGTCGGTGATGAGAAGGTTCTGGATTGGGAGAGCACAAATAAGAGAGAGATGAGAGAACGACAAGGATGGAAAGAGAGAGACCAGTGGTATGATGATCCAAAAAAGAAAAAAAAAATTCAAGTAATTGTTGCTTTCAAACAATAATCCCAAGTGATTTTTATTTTTCAATGTAGAGTGAATTATATATATATACTTAATTTTAAGTTTTTGTTTGGTCAGGTATAGAATAAATATTTAATTTTTTTTATAAAAAAATTTAAAAAGTAAAAAAAAAAAAAAAACCTACTTAAAAAATTGGTTGGGATTGTGTCAAAATAGCATTGCATTATATTTGTTTAGACAAGAAAAATCTAAATATTTAATTTTTTTTCTCACCTAAAAAGAAGTATTTATTGACGAAAATAAATTATGTCACCTATTATTTTTAATTTTTTTTTATTAAATGTGACAAAATTTTCTAATTCATCACGGATTATACTTATTTAGTGACGAAATTTATTTTCTTCGTTGCTTTTCGTCACCATAGGTTACTTGGAGAGCTAATTAACTTGTGTTTTGTTTTGAGAGAAAGAGAGAGAAAGAGGGAGAGGGGAGGAAAACTGAAAAACAAAAAAAAGAGGGGCGAGTTAGTAGTCTATTTTTTTTCATTACTGCCCAATATGTCAAAATTTTTCCTCCAAAATTAGTGACAAAATAATTTCCTCACTAAAAAATCTCAAAATATTAAAAATTATTAGTGACAAAAATATATTTCTCACCAAATGGTCTTAAAATATTTAAAATCAAGTTTCTTAAAATATATATATATAATTATTGGTGACAAAAATATATTCGTCACTAATAATTTTATAATTGGTGACAAATTTTTTTCTCACCAAAAGTCTCAAAGTTTTGGCGCCACCTAAAAAAATTAGCGGGAAAACCTTCGGTGACAAAACTTAATTTTTCCTCACCTAAAAAGAAGTATTTGTCGACGAAAATAAATTTCGTCACCTAATATTTTTATTTTTTTATTATATGTGACAAAATTTTATAATTCGTCCCGAATTATTCTTATTTAGTAATGAAATTTATTTTCTTCACTACTTTTCGTCACCATAGATTACTTTTGTTGTAGTGAAAGAAAGAGAGAAAAGATGAAATTATTATGATTTGAATATGACATTTTATTTTATTGACTATTTTAACCTATTTTATTTTGGAGAATTTTTTTTAAGATCCCTGGTATTAAGATTTTACAGCATAAAGGACACTCAATATTTTCATAATGTCTAAGGTCCCTCAAGTTGATCCAGAGAAAATAGGTCCGGAGAAAATTAATCCAGAGAAATTTTGTCCAGAGAAATTCTAGACCAAAGAAATTTTGGACTTCCAAAGAATTTCTCTAGATTCAACCTAGAGAAAATTCAAATTTATCTGGGTTCAGTTTGACAAATTTTCAAACCAGAGAAAATTGATAAATTCTGGACTTCCCAAGCCAGAGAAAATTGACTTCACCAATTTTACTCAGTTAAAGGTAGAGAAAATTAAACAAATTTCTCTGCCCCCTACCTCTCCTAGACTCACCTCTCCAGACAAAATTTGAAAATTTCTCTAGTCTTCCCATCACATAGTAGTTTCCATTTTTGTGAATCATCATCGGTCAGAAGGTCAATCCATCCACCATTAACAACATATACTGTATCTTCATCCACTTCACCAAGTGGTCTCTCCTTCAACGAGAGTGATTCTGCCATCTCTGCTCTCTGTCTCCACATCTTCGAAGTGGCATCCAATGCTTTTAAAGATCTCTGCAGTGCTTCACATCTTCGCATATAGGCCTCATCTTTAGAACGTGCTGTTCGTTTAGCAGCTTCTATAGCAGCCTTGACGGCCTCAACAGCTTTCCATTACGGCCAAGGTTCGCCGGCAGCTCCAACGTGAAATTGTTCTCCCAAATCTGCAAGACCTCGAGATTCGGGAGATCTCCGATGAACGAAGGGATTGGACCCTCAAGATTGTTGCGAAACAGATTGATTAGCGTAAGGTTCTGCAATTCAGAGAAGCTCTTCGGTATTTCTCCGGTGAGAAAATTAACGGAAAGATCGAGTGATTTGAGACTGACTAAACCGGCGAGTTCTGGAGGAATGAGACCTGTGAGTTGATTGAATTGGAGAAACAGAGTGTGAAGCATCTTCAAATTGCTCAGACTCGCAGGAATCTCACCGGAGACGTTACAGCCACCGAGATCAAGGAGTCGGAGATTTGTCATCAATCCTAACTCATGAGGAATACCTCCTTCGTACTGATTAAAGTAACCGAGACAGAGTTCTTGAAGATTCGACAGCCGAGCCAGACTCGCCGGAATGGTCCCGGTAAGTTCGTTTCCCTGTAACCCTAAGCTCTCCAAGCTCTGTATCTCAGTAAAAGCCTCCGGAATCTCGCCGTAAAAGAAGTTTCCGCCGAGATGAAGAGTTTTCAGTTTCTTCAGCTTCGCAAACTCCGTCGGGAGCTTCCCGGTGAAGTTGTTGTTGTACACGTCGAGCGATTCAAGCTCCGACATGGTGGCAACGACTTCTCCGGGGAACTCACCGATGAAGGTGTTGCTTGAGAGGTTTATGAACTTGATAGCGGTTAATTTCGACATCTCAATCGGTAAATGACCGGTGAGATTGTCGGCGACGAGAGTGAGATTGATTAGACTGGTGAAAAGGCCAATCTCCGGCGGAATGGTTCCGAACAGAGGGAGAGAAGAGATTTTGAGAGAGGTGACTCGTGAGTGCTCGTCACATGAAACTCCAGAGAAAAAACAATGCGAGGTGGGAGATGAAGATGGGGAGTCTGAAACCCAGTCATCGAGTCCTGAGCCAGACGGGCCGATCATGGAGGACTTGAGCTTCAACAGAAGTTCAAGGTCAGAGTAGGCACGAGAAGAGCGTGAAAATAAGAGAGAGATAGCAAAAATATGGAGGAGCAGAAGAAGATCACACGAAAGTGTTCTCATCTCTGGCCCTTTCTGGGTTTTCACTGTTGGCTTTGCTTTGGTTGTTTCAGAGACGAGACGCGACGCGTATTATCGCATTGGGCAGTTCAAATATATAACAGCAGGAAGCTGCATTGTGAAGAATCGAACTGTTCGACAGTGTATCAAACTTGAATGAATAAACAAAATCAATGATGAAGATAGTTAACGGCCGTCAACGTCTGAATGGCCTTACAGGTAACCTATTTTGAAAAATTAGTTAAAAATTATTTTTTAATTATTTTTTGACTTTTTTACATTACATTACATTATTTTTTATTTTTTATATATTTTTTGAAAAAAATTTAAAAATCAACTTCTAACTTCCTTCTTAAAATAGGCCCAATAAAATTGTATCTACATAATTCAAAGAGTATTTAAGTTCTCTTATATTAAAATTTTACAAGATAAAAAATATGTAATATTTTCAAAATAGTTAGGGATTTTCAATATTTTTATAAAGTAATTTTTCTAATAATATTATTGAGGGAACTTAATTAATAAAAAAAAAATATATTAGACATCTTCTATTATCCAAAGTTTGAGAGAAATATTTCACTAATTTTTCTTAATTCTATTTTAAAAAAATAAAAATTTATTCAAATTTTTCATATTTGATTTAAATTAATCTACACATGTTATATAGCCTCCGTTTGGGAAGTGGGTTGGCTTTTTGGCTTTTTGGCTTTTTTGGCTATTTTAGCCTGGGCTAAAAAGCTTGGTTTGGGAGGGGCTTTTTGGCTTTTTGGCTTTTTTGGCTATTTTAGCCTGGGCTAAAAAGCTTGGTTTGGGAAGGGCTTTTTGGCTTTTTGGCTTTTTTGGCTATTTTAGCCTGGGCTAAAAAGCTTGGTTTGGGAAGGGCTTTTTGGCTTTTTGGCTTTTTTGGCTATTTTAGCCTGGGCTAAAAAGCTTGGTTTGGGAAGGGCTTTTTGGCTTTTTGGCTTTTTTGGCTATTTTAGCCTGGGCTAAAAAGCTTGGTTTGGGAAGGGCTTTTTGGCTTTTTGGCTTTTTTGGCTATTTTAGCCTGGGCTAAAAAGCTTGGTTTGGGAAGGGCTTTTTGGCTTTTTGGCTTTTTTGGCTATTTTAGCCTGGGCTAAAAAGCTTGGTTTGGGAAGGGCTTTTTGGCTTTTTGGCTTTTTTGGCTATTTTAGCCTGGGCTAAAAAGCTTGGTTTGGGAAGGGCTTTTTGGCTTTTTGGCTTTTTTGGCTATTTTAGCCTGGGCTAAAAAGCTTGGTTTGGGAAGGGCTTTTTGGCTTTTTGGCTTTTTTGGCTATTTTAGCCTGGGCTAAAAAGCTTGGTTTGGGAAGGGCTTTTTGGCTTTTTGGCTTTTTTGGCTATTTTAGCCTGGGCTAAAAAGCTTGGTTTGGGAAGGGCTTTTTGGCTTTTTGGCTTTTTTGGCTATTTTAGCCTGGGCTAAAAAGCTTGGTTTGGGAAGGGCTTTTTGGCTTTTTGGCTTTTTTGGCTATTTTAGCCTGGGCTAAAAAGCTTGGTTTGGGAAGGGCTTTTTGGCTTTTTGGCTTTTTTGGCTATTTTAGCCTGGGCTAAAAAGCTTGGTTTGGGAAGGGCTTTTTGGCTTT